ATTTCTCACACAAGCCATGGGTATATGTGGAATATACATTCCACACATTCCCCAAAATACATTCTGCTACTTCTACTGAGTATGGGGGTAACACATGTGTGAGACTTTTTGGGAGCCTAGCCAAATACCTGTATGAAATCCAATGACCACTTTGAAAGCCTGAAGGTCCGTAACTTCCTCATTTCACTTCCTCACTACCTATCACAGTTTTGAAGGCCCCGAAAAGCCAGGATAGCACCAACCCCCCCCCCCCCCCCCCCCCCCCAAATTACCCCTTTTTGGAAAGTAGACACCCCAAGGAATTTTAAAAAAGGCATGGTGAGTATTTTGCAGATCTAATTTTTTCTCACAAGGTTTTGAAATGTAAAAAAAGAAAAGAAAAAATATGTTTTTGTTTATTTCTTTAACATGTGGCAACAAATGAGATCTGCAAAATACTCACCATGCTTCTGATGAAATTCCTTGGGGTGTCTACTTTCCAAAAAGTGGTCAAAAGTGGTTTGGGGGGGTTTGGTACTATCCTGGCATTTCAGGGCCTCTGAAACTGTGATAGGTAGTCAGGAAGTGTAATGAGGAAATAAAGCCCTTTAAAAGCCACCATCAGTGCTTATTGGATTTTGGGGTCCTGTACTTGGCTAGACTGCCAAAACATCTCTCACATGTGGTACCCCCATACTTGGGAGAAGTAGAAGAATGTATTTTGGGGAGTAATTCCACATATACCCATGGCATGTGTGAGCAATAAATCATTTAAGCAACAATTTTATGTAAAAAAGGAAATTCTTCTATTGATTCAACATGCCTCTCAGCAAATAGTTTAGGGTGTCTAATTTCCAAAAAGGGCTCGTTTTGGGGGGTGGGGGCATTTTATGCCCAGCATTAGAAGTTTATGCCACACATCACTCACTCTTCTAACCACCTGAAGACCAAGCCTTTTCTGACACTTTTTGTTCACATGAAAAAAATCATTATTTTTTGCTAGGAAATTAACCGTTTCAATACCGTGCAATTTTACACCTTCCTGCCCAGGCCATTTTTCAGGTTTCAGCGCTCTCACAATTTGAATGACAATTGCGCGGCGGTCATACAACACTGTACCCAAACTAAAATTTTATCATTTTCTTCACACAACTAGAGCTTTCTTTTGGTGGTATTTATTCACCGCTGGGGTTTTTATTTTTTGCTAAATTAACAAAAAAAGACCAAAAATTTTGAAAAAAAAAAAACAAATTTTTCTTTGTTTCTGTTATAAAAGTTTACAAATAAATAATTGTTCTTCATAAATTTAGGCCGAGATGTATTCTGCTACATGTCTTTGGTGAAAATAACCCAAATTAGGATGTATTTTTTAGTTTGTAGGAAAGTTATAGAGTTCACAAACTATGGTATAGATCTGAATATTGATCAATCCTGAAGTACTGACAGCCAATCTAATTTCTTGAGGTCCAAGAATGTCAGAACAGTACAGATATGCTCCAAATGACCCCTTTTTGCAGAGTAGACAGTCCGACGTACTTCATAAGAGGCATGGCGAGTTTTTTTTGAAGTTGTATTTTTTTGTCATAATTTTTCGGAAAATTAAAAAATTAAAAAAATTATTTTCACTATTTGTTTTTTTACATACTGTCACCAGTGCAGTACAGCGTCATCATATAACTGGCATGGCGGTTAATAGGGACACTGACTGGTGACAGTATGAAAAAAAAATATATATATTTTTTTTTTTTTTTTTTTTTTTTTTTTTTTTCTTATATTTAATTTTTTATTACATTTTTTTTATTTTATTTAAGATTTTTTTTTCATATTTTACTATGACCAAAGTAGTACAATGTTACCATAGTAACATTGTACTACTTTGGGGAAGTGATCAGTATTTTTTTTTTTTGCACAATTTGCTTATAGCAAAGAATTACTTTGCTATAAGCAAGCATTTACCTGAATGAAATCGATTCATTCAGCTTTTTTTTTTTTTTTTTTTTTGTGCTTAGCTGTGATTTGGTCACAGCTAATCACATGACATGTGCATGTGATTAGCTGTGACCATTCACAGCTAGGCACTAGTATACAATGGATGGCATCATGAATGAAGCCATCCATTGTATACAACTGTCATGTGACCTACTGTGATTGGTCACAGCAGGTCACATGGTACCAGCAACGGGAGCCGGTACTCGGATCTGTCATCGGCCGTGTCCGAGGTGCACGGCCGGTGACAGATCGCACTGCTGCGCCGCTCTGCATTAGCGCAAACTGCGCATGTGCGGGAGCACGCCAAATGGCGTGCACCCGGAGTGCAGAGACACATTTGAAGCCGCCAAACGGCCATTGGCCGGGTGGCTAATGGTTAATTTAAACCCCAAATATTATATATTTTTTTAAAGCAAACACCCTAGTGAATAAAATGGTGGGTGTTGCAATTTTTTATGTCACATAGTAGTCGCGCAGCGATTTTTCAAACGCACAAATGCACAAAAACAAAATATTGGCCAATTATTTGGTAAAATATAAAAGATAATGGTATGCCAAGTAAATAGATACCAAACATGACATGCTTTAAAACTGAGCATGCCCTGTGCAATGGCGACAAACTGCATACATTTTTAATATCCTTAGGCAACATTTTAAAAGCCTTTACAAGCTACCATTTTAGATTTACAGAGGAGGTCTAGTGTTAGAATTACTGCCCTTGATCTGATGTTCGTGGCGATACCTCACATGCATGGTGCAACTGCTGTTTCCATACTGGCACAGGGTCAACGTTCACAAACGTAGATGCTCACGTGCGAGCGGGGGGGGGGGGGTGATGGTACTTTTTTAGTTATTTTATTATTTTGATTTTTTTTTTATTATTTTTACACTGTTCCCTTCAATGTTTTTTTTTATCACTTTTAATGCTATCACAGGGAATGCAAATATCCCCTATAACTTCAGTGGGCGTTGTCATATATTCTTTTTTGAGAAATCTGGGTTCTATCAGACTTTAGATATCTCCTCTGCTCTTACATTATCTAATCAAACCAAGATCGGTGTGATCAGATGCTTTCACAATTTACAAATGGCGCTGTTTATATCCTGTGAAACTGAAGTGATGAAATGCTCATAGCTTCCGATTTCTTAAGCTATAGAGATGATTGGCACCATTCTGGTCTCCAATCAGATCTATGGTCAGCTGGCAGAAACACTGGTTGCATTCTCAGGTTTCTCTGATGGCACGGGCCTGCCCAAGAAGGCCATGGAAGGCAGTGGGGGAGAAGGGCATCGTCTCCTGCTGCTTGTGAAAGCAATCCTGCAGCTTATTAGCCACTAGGATTGCTTTTACATGAAAGACGATCTCCAGCTGAAAAAAACGATACCAGGATGGATGCCTGCAGCTGTAGGCATCATCTTGGTATAACCATTCAAAGTCCAGTGATGTGCCAGTACCTCGGTTTACAAATTTGATTTGTTCTGCAGGATATTTCGTATAGCGAAAAATTCTTAAACCGAAACACTGTTTCCCATAGGAATGCATTGAAAACCAATTAATCCGTTCCGAAGGCCAGAAAACAGTAAAGGCTACTAAAATAACGCATGAGTTATTTTATTAACTCAGGTGGTATTTTAGTAGTGACAACCATATGTTAATGTTTCAGCTGTCAGCGGGGTTCCCCACTGACAGCTAAATGTAAAAGAATTGCTGGCAATTAAAAAAAAATTTTTAATTGCCGGCAATTAACTCAGCTGTTAGGTGCCAGTTTTTAAATGTAATTACCGTTTTTTTCTCTTCACTGTACAGTAGTTCAGAAATTCATCTGTCACTTTCCCCCTCCAGATAAAAGAGAGAAAGTTTCTTTTAGTTTATTTCCCCAACTTAAAAGAAACAATGTTTCCTTTCAGTTTCTTAAAAGATACAAAGTATCCTTTAGCTCTGGGGAAACTGACAGAAAATGTTGTGCGCTATAGTGAAAAAAAAAAAAAAAGACGGCAATTGCATTTAAAATCAGCACTGACATACACTTCGTATTGTGAAAAAAATTGGTAAAAAATTCGTAAACTGAGGCATTATTTTCAATTGATTTTCATTCGTAAACCGAAAATTACATTAACAGAGGCATTCGTAAACCGAGGTATTACTGTAAATGCTATGTTCTTTTTTTTTTTTATGCAGCCTGTGGACTGAATGAAAAAAAAGAGACTGCCAAAAAAAAGTGTGTGGTATGCCCACCATTAGAATATACCGCCCTGCATCCACCCACTTCTAATGGTGGGCACACATTAGGTCACACTTTGCCACATGCACCAGTTCCAAGATTGTACAAATGTCTAAATAGTGGCACGCTTGAATAAACATTGTCCACGTATAAGTGGTACCCCATATGGAAGAAGGATGACACCAAGTCCCAAACTATCTTGCCACCACTCCCCTTGTAGACTGGGCATCTGGGGGGCTCCACATGACTTTCTTTTCCCTTGTAAATCCGAAACTTATATGTATAGCCTATTGTTCTCTCACAGGTCTTCTACATCTTGACCCCATATCTGGCACGCTTGCTGGAGAGAAATTGTTTGAATGCAATGCAGCCAGAAAAATGAATGAGGGACTCATCAACACATTATTTTTGCTGGGGAGTATAGACATCTGCAAATTTTTGGTTAAGGTGATTTGTGAGGGGCTGAATTTTGTGGAGCCGGTCAAATTCAGGGTCACCTTGAGGACGACAGAGTGTATTGTTGTTGAAATGCATAAAACACATTATACTCTCATATCTATGCCTGGCCATGGCAGCAGAGAACATGGGCATATAACAAATCGGGTCTGAGGACCAATGCAACCGCAATTAATTTTTTTAGTAATGCCCATGTTGAGGGTTAGGTCCAAGAAAAATTTAAATTCTGAAACCGTAATGAGTTTCCATGCGAATGGTCTGGCAAGGTTTGAATTTGGGTTGGCGGCGATAAATTGTGCATATAAAATGCTTTGATCCACAATCAATGCATACAGATCTTCCATGAAAAGCAGCTCCAAAAAATCAAGGGGAGTAGTTAAATTTGCTATTTCCACCTGAATTCCGGGTTGGGCAGTGAATGGGGGAAGTACGGGTTCTGCAGAATTTGTGGGCTGCCAATCGGGATTTGCAAGCACATCTGGATACTAGGGGCTCTACGGGCCTATGTGCGAATTCTTGGTGGTTGAGGGACAATACTTGTGCTTGGCACCGCACCAACTTGTACTGCACTTATGGGACTCGCCAAGTCATACTGCAGTGCTGGTATTATTATTATTATAATATAGGATTTATAGTGCGCCAACAGTTTGCTCAGCGCTTTACAATATAATGGGAGACAATACAGAATAATACAGTTCAATACAAGAGGGCTTGAAGGGCCTGATCCTGGGAGATTACAATCTAAGAGGTTTGTGAAAGACCAGGATGTACTAGACCGCTGGTGCTCGCCAGTTCACCAAAAGGTAGCGCAGCACTAGTACTGGCACTCTGCTGCATATGAGAGTCATCAAAATTTACTGACAAGTGCTAACAGAGATCAGGCCTGATTCTGCGAACACTGCAGTTTTGTGTGCAATGTATCAAGTGACAGTGACCTACAGGCACTGCACTTGCTGGGGGAGTGGAAGGGAGTAAGCGTAGGGGCTAAATGCATGTGGTGGCAGGTGCCAGGGATGATCCCGCTAACGCTGTGTTTTTGGGGACTCCGTATTAATGTGAACGCTGGTATACTGCTGATCTGATCAAAGATATTGATCCGTTCCGACACTACACTAGCAATGGAGGTTTATTGTGTTTGAGCGTGTTCCTGGCAATCAAGGGGTTAAATGTGATGACTGGGGTACTGACAGGCAATCGGACGCCATCTGGGAGGGGCGTGAAAACCATGGGAGCGCGTATATATATGTGATTTTGTGCACCTGTGCCACCTTGTAGCAGTATTTGTGCTATAGGGTGGTCAGGAAGCGGTTACATAAGCGGTTTGTGTTATGGCGCTGTGTTAGTTTAACTGTCATGCAACGCTGCACCAAAATTAAATTAACATTCTTTTTTATCCACAAATTGGGATTTCTTTTGGTGGTATTTGATCGCCTGTGCGGTTTTTTATTTTTTGCGCTATAAAAAAAAAAGACTGACAATTTTGAAAAAAAAAACCAATATTTTTGACTATTTGCTATAAAACATGTCCAGTAAAAAAATTTAAAAATCAAATTTCGTCATAAATTTCAGCCAAAATGTATTCTGTCTTTGCTAAAAAAAAATGCCAATACGTGTAAATTAATTGGTTTACTAATAATAGTGGCGATCAGCGACTTATGGCGGCAATCAGCGACTTATGGCGGCAATCAGTGACTTATGGCGGGACTGCGGCGGACATTCTGACACTGGGGCGGAACTTACTTGGGGTCACTGACATTCCCAGTGACACCAATACAGTGATCAGTACAAAAAAAAAACACTGACACTGTACTAATGGCACTGGGGAGGAAGGAACTTTTGGAGACAATCAAAGGGTTAACTGTGTGAGGGGAGTGTTTTACTAGGGGGCTGGGTGTGTACCTCTCTGTTACACACTGTTCCGGAAGGCTGTGTCCAGCGATCCAGAGACAGTGTGCTGAAAACAATGCAACCTTCGTCCACGTCTGTGTTTGCTGGCAATCATCGGGCTCTGGCGGGTAATCACCAGCCGGGACCCGGTAACTGACACCCGCAGCCGCGATCGGTGCCGCGGGTAGGGCGGTCGCGCGCCCCCTACCCCGGAATGCAGGATCACGTTTATATACGTGATCCTGCGCACAGGGGCCACTTTTTAGCAGTATATGTACTGCGGGCGGTCACCTAGTGGTTAAGGAAAAACATTTTTATTTCACCACTCCCACAACACCCTTCACCACTCCAACAAAAAAACTCACAAACTTGGCTACCCAATCTACCTGCAAGGTCTGGGGCTCAAAGTTCTTGACACCCCCAAACCTTCCTCTGCACAAAGGTGTATTTCAACTTTCTAAAGTAGGGGAATGTTTGTCAACATTTGCAGACACTTGGTCCTTATGCATCTCACATGTTTGGGTGCAGTAGGTTTCATGCCAGCCCTCTCCTCCCTCCTCCAACCTTCCTGTGTTGCCTCACAGATTACCAGATCTCAGTCTAGCCTTTCAAGTCCTCTGGATCAGGGTGCCGTTGCCCTAGTTCCAATAGCAGATTATTTTATGGGATTCTACTCCAACCTGTTCAAAGTTCCCACAACCAATGGGGGCATCTGCCCTATCATAGATCTCAAGGCACTGAATGTCTTCATTTGCGCTCAGGTATTTAGCAGGTCTGCCAACATCTCCCTTCACCAGCTTCTGTGGATATCAGTGATGCTTACCTGCCCGTTGCATCTTTCCAGCACGTCACATCAGCACTTAAAATAATTTTATTATAGAATAGATAGAAGCAAAGAATCAGTCAAAAACAAATGCATTGACCAACAGAAATAAGACATACAAGGTATTCAAGGAATATTCCAGAATATGTACTGGTGGAGAGACATAGAATGAAACTGTATACTTAAGTGCCATGTATAAAAAAAAAAAAAGGAAAAAAAAAAACAAAAGGGAGAAAACAATGAGTAAACAATTAGAGAGCAATGACAATATAAACTCTAAGGAAAAATTGTCACTATATCAGCATACAGAAGGCGGAGAAGATATAAAATGGAGCCTCTCCAAATGTAGATAGGTATTCCACACATAGGGCTCTCGAAGGAGTCCAGCATGAGGATATAGTATTGCGGGTGCGGCACTCAAAGCAATAATCACAATCAGTACAAATAGTATAAAACAGGTTAGACAAAAGAAAAGAGAGGGACGAAGAGTAAGGAGACGAGGACAAAAACAAAAGAAAAAACCACGAAAGCGGATAGTGAGACCAGGAGGACAGCAGCTCGGTCAGTTCATTAAAGACGGCGGGGAAATTAGCCCGATAAAGTCCTTCATAAGTCGGGGTCAGTTCATTAAAGACGGTGGGGAAATTAGCCCGATAAAGTCCTTCGTAAGTCGGGGTGAGCTTAATTCCTAAATACGGCAGAGCCGAGAGCCATTGAAAAGGGAACACATGTTTCAAAGTAGCCAAAAGTGATGATGAGAGAGTAATTGACATAGCCTTAAATTTGGCAGGGTTGACATGGAGACCTGAGAGAACTGCAAAGGAATCCAAAACCGCAAGCAAATTTGGCAAAGTAACCCCCGGGTTCGTAACTGACAACAATATATCGTCAGCGAACAAAGATAACTTATGCTGGGACTAAATAAAATATGGTGCCGCACCCTCTGTGCGAACAGGTGTCTAAATAGAGAATATTAATGAATTGGTTTACTATCAATTCAATTTAGGTGAGTGGTTTACTATCTAGTGCAAAGTATCCAGATAATATGCATATATTCCAGTCCTCAAATCAGGAAGGAATATATATATAGCCTGAGGAAGGGAGGATCCATACTTTGCATTCACCCATAACAGCACATCCAGGAATGAAGAGGTGATTAACCCATTCAGCTCTCAACAGAGAATTACACCAGGGCAATCCTTTGCTCTTCAGCCCAGCACTCGCACTTACAGACTGTCCGGAAAGTGTGAGTACTTCACAAGCAATTAATTTTGAGTATGTCTTTCTCATGATGGGACTCTAAACTTGGCTGGACTTTCTTATTAGTTGGACATTTTCGCACATGTTTCTTTGGATTTTGAATCTGTTATTGCTCTATGTCAAATTTATGTCTGATCATTATTCTAATCATGCAGTGCAACTGATATGAGGACTGGAATATATGCATATAATCTGGATACTTTGCACTAGATAGCAAACCACTCGCCTAAATTGAATTGATAGTAAACCAATTCATTAATATTCTATATTTGGACACCTGTTCACACAGAGGGCGCGGCACCATATTTTATTTAGTCACTACAAATTATACATATATAAGAGGATGTAAACAGGAGCCTGCAAACTAATTTTTTATTACATATACTATATATTACATATACTATATACTCCTAGTGGCTCACATTTTCACATAATTTCACATTTTGTTAACTTATGCTGGGAGCCAGCTACATCTATTCCCTTAATATCAGGATGCATATGAATGGCTTCTGCCAAAGGTTCCAAGGCCAGGATAAATAGTATGGGAGAAAGTGGGCTCCCTTGCCTAGTTCCCCTGCCAATCGGGAACGTTGAGGACTCAAATCCATAATATTTGAGTTTTGCTTGAAGAGATGTATATAGCGAAGAGATCCAGCGTAATAACGAGGGACCAAAGCCAAAACGGTGAAGGACCGACATGAGATAAGGCCAGGACAAAGTGTCAAAGGCCTTGTTGATATCTAGAGATAGCAGCATCATATCAATTTTGCGAGTATGAGCCAAATGTTGTAACTGTAAAATGTGTCTGATGGCATCTCCGGCTTGTCTGTGGGGGACAAAACCCACCTGGTCTTTTTTTATCAGACGAGAAAGGAAAGAATTCAAACGAGTAGCTAAGATCTTAGTGAGGATTTTCATATCAATGTTAATAAGAGAAATAGGCCTATAATTTGCCCAAGAGGAATGATCTCGTTCCAGTTTTAGGATCATAACCACATTAGCAGTCAAAGAGTCAGGGGAAAAGTTTGAACCTCCCTTCACCGCATTAAACATAGCGACAAGGTGAGAGGCAAGCACATCGGCCAATTTCTCGTAGTATAAAGCCGTGTATCCATCTGGACCTGGGCGTTTGCCCATCTTCAGATCTGCAATGCATTGCAGAACTTCTGATAATTGGATATCACGGTCCATCAGGTCCTTATGAGCCTGAGTTAAAGTAGGCACGGACAAATGGGATAGAAAGTCAGAAATAGACTGAGGGTCAGCCCGTGTAGGATCCGTATAAAGTCTGGCAAGTCGATGCCAGAACTCCTCCAAAACCGCTACAGGATTACTTGTGAGAGCATTCTGACGAGTGCGTAGGGAAATCGGTTTGGGGTGATGTGCAAAAGAGCGTAATCTACATGCCAACATGGAGTCTGGTTTATTTGCTTTACTATAACACTTCTAGCGCATCCAACGCAAAGAATGCTCAGCCTCCTCCGTCAAACAAAGATCCAGTTCCAGGCGGGCCTGATCTAGCAATCTACGGTTCGATGGGGTAGGTACCTGCTTAAATTGAGCCGACGCGGAAGCTAGCTTTGATTCCAGCTGACACTGTTTATGTTGTCTATCCCTCTTTCGCCTCAAAGCTATCTGAATAATATGGCCCCTAAGAACAGCCTTGTAAGCTTCCCATAATGTTACCGAAGAAGAGACAGAACTTGAGTTTAGTTGGAATTTGCGCTGTAGTTCCGCCTGAATCTCCTTTAGCGAAAGTAGGGAGTCATTCATAATCCAAGAGGAGTAGGCTGGCTTACAGAGGAGAGATCGACAAACCACCAAAATGGGGTCATGATCAGACCATGGAACCGTGAGGATAGAGATGGAGCGAACCAAA